CTATTTGTCAAAATTACAGTTTAAATTTTCTACCAGCTATGGTTCAACCAGTTTCTGTTCCTGTTAAGCAGATCTTAGCTGTGATCTACCTAGCTGTGATGCTCTGAATTCATCTACTTCTCAAATTTCAGGATGGTGGTTTGTCCTGACAACTCAGTTGTCTGATGGGATCTTGAAAAGTCATTGATTTTTAATTTTGTCCAGTTTTATTCTGTTTGAAGAATGGGTGTTTTATTCTGTGTGAAGAATTCCTCTGAGAAATTTCTTTGAGAAGAAATAATTCCAAGCATGTTACATGTCAGAATAGCTCCCTGGTTGTGCAGCAATACTTGAGTATTGTCTTTAGCCCCCAAATACTTATTCTCTCTTCCTGAAGCTCTGGTGATAAAAATGTTAGAACTTTTGTTTTAATCCCAGAGTTCTGTTCATTTTTGTTTACTTGTTTTTCTCTGTTTTCAGATTGAGTATATCCTACTAATCTGTACATGAGTACAGTATGCTGCATTACCGTGCATGAGTACAGTACTTATGTAGAGATTAATATGATATACTCAATCTGAAAGCAGAGAAAAACAAGATATAATCAGGTTCACTGATTATATAAAATATAAAACAGGGAAACACAGATATAAGCAGGTTCACAGATTATATCTTTCGTCATCTCCATTCTACTGTAGAGACTGTCCAGCAAGTTTTTAATTTTGCTTCTCACATTTTTTAGTTGTAATTTCCATTTTGTTCTTTTCTATAATTTCTATGACTTGGCAGAGATCCTCTTGTTTTAATTTACTTCGCAGTAATCCATAATTACTTCTTCAAGTAATTTTACATTGGCTACTTTAAAATCTTTGTGTGATGAGATAGAAGGTCGGCACAAGACACAGGTTATAAAGACCTTGCTGATGAAACAGGTTGCAGAAAAGAAGCGGCTAAAACCTACCAAAACCAGGATGGTAATGAGAGTGACGTCTGGTCGTCCTTACTGCTACACTCGCACCAGTGTTTTAACAGTTTACAACATCAGGAAGGTACCCTATATGGTCTAAAAGGGGGAGGCATGAATAATCCACCCTTTGTTTAGCATATAACTACGAAATAGCCATAAAAATTGGCAACCAGCAGCCCTGGGGGCTGCTCTGCCTCTAGAGTAGCCATTCTTTTATTTCTTTACTTTTTTTTTTTTTT